GAATCCTTTCACCACCCCTGCACCTCTGGCCCGTACCCCAGTTCTGTATGCATAAATAAATACACCTGTAAAATAAAATAAAGTGAGGTCAGTGAGCCCACCTGGAGCTGGGAGGTTTAAAGGCATTAGTTAATCCATGAATTTGCTGAACCACAATAAGCTCCAAGCAGTGTTGCTACTATGTTAAAAATCACTACCTACTTAGCATTAACCTTATTCATATTCTGGGGTGAGGAAACAAATATTTATTGAGCACCTACTGCATACTAGCCTTTATCATAGCCATCTGGAGAGAGTGTTCTAAGGTAAGCATGAGGTCTTGGGTTTGGTAAAGGAGGAACGTAAGATTGCTTGTCCAAGGTCCTACTGGGGGTGGGAGGCGACCATATCTCATGCGAATTTTAAGGCAGGGAGAAGACCCAACTCTCTGGAGGGCCTCCGAGCACTGTTACCCTTCAGCCCCCATGCTAACCCTGGTGGAGGGTGTTTCTGTCTCCTCTGTGCCCATGTCAGGCCTGAGCCTCAGGCTGGTGGGTTATCTGAATGCCTGCTGCTTTGAAGCGCCAGAGTGGATTCGAAGTCAGTTGTCTCCCGAATTCTGCGTAAGCAGCAAGTGAAGCCTCACACTGACTCCCTCTGAGCCAGGGAAACAAGCCAGTGTGGACAAACCCATGAGCAGACCAGCCTTGCTATTATAGGGGCCCCCACCTGCTGCGCTCTGGGCTCCTGGAGCAGGGAGACATACTCACAGAGACAAGGACACTCGACACCCAGAGGGGTCATTGTTACCCAGAAATCTTTATTACAAAAATATTTTGCAAGCCAAAAAGTTTAAGTTGCAACTATATACAAAAGGGGGCCTGTTTCCTTCCCAGCAGTCTTAAAATAAACTCCCGAAACCACGCTCTTCCACACTGTTGATGCGACCTCTTCCTTTTCCTGGGCTTCAATACACAAGGTATGGGAATCTCCAGGCTGCCAGCCTGGAGCTAAAGCTGCAAGACTTCCTTGACCTCAATCCCTATTCCCCTTCCAAAATTTGAAATGAAGTAAAATTAAAATGGCACCAAGAAAACATTCTTTCATAATTCTAGGTGTGTGCATGTACCCAAGCATGTGTGCTCTCTCTGGGCAGAGAAGAGGGAGATTCAAGTTTACATGCCAACCCCTCAGAATTTGGAAACAGCCTGAGCCAGGTGGCTGGGCCACTGTGCTCCCAGATGCTACCAAGAAACTGGCTCGTACAGCCAGAGCGCCCCACATGGCCTGTTGGCTCAGCGGCTGCCTGGATGCCATCATGTCAATCACAGATCACTGTCCCCTACAAGGGCCGGGTCTGTACTGAGCTCCTGAAGTTCACCCATAGGACCTGCTGACCGGCAGGGAAGACTCAGCCCCTGCTCTGACCGCCTGAGCCACAAACCCCTTGGACGTTAAGCCGGCAGACTGTGAAGACGAGCGGGCCGTGAAGACAAGCATCTCAACGCTGAGATTACATGCACAGACCGATAAACAGGACTGGCAACGTCTGCCTGCCCTGGGCCCAGGCAGCCTGCACACTGAGCTGCAAGCGTGGGGTGTCAGGGTAACGGGTCAGTGCCTCTGTCCAGTCTCCTGAGCTGGGGCACAGGAGGCAGGTCAGCCCTGGCCTCACTGCCGGCCTGTCTTGGACTTATTCCAGCTTGATCTAATTGGGTTTGAGAGCAGAGGGGGAAGATGCACTCTGCAGGACTAACTCAGAGAACTGGGATGGGGCCAACGTCAGGCACAGCCCCAACGTGCTCCGAGTGTGGGGGGACATCTTCTGCTCCCCTCCTTCCGAGTGTACAGACTGGGGCATCAGGTCTCGACAAGACTGTGTGGGGAAGGCAGCCTCGAGTAGCTGGGCGGGACTGCAGTTAGCACAGGGCTGGGCAGGCAGCCGCAGTCCCTACGCGGCCGGCTCGGCCCAGCCGGTCCTGCAGAGAAGGCCGCACTCCAGGTCAGCCCGACAGAGCCTTCCCCCCGTGCTCGGGCTGGGGGCTGCGAGGAGCTCAGTTTCTGCTGCGAGAAAACCCCTCCGCGGCCACCAGCTCTTCAACCTTAGACAGCACAAGACCCAACCATGGGTTTCAACACATGACAAAGAGCCGAGATAACGTTGCTGTTGTTTTAAGAAAAAAACAAAACAAAACACCACAGATCAAATTTTCTAACACCTCAGTTTCAAGATTGCACGTTTCACATTTCTCGATAATTTACAGGCGTCCACAGCGGGATGTTGCTGAGTTAGTGCTAGCTGGAGGAAGCAAGCTCGGGTCTAGAGAGGAGGTGGGGCCACACGGAGTGTCACAGCTGGGGTGGCGCGTCCTCAAGGAGCTCGGAGGGCCACGAGGATGACGCGGGTCCGTGGTGGTGGCGATGGTGGTGGTGGTGGGGGCTCCCCAAGGGGCCTCTCCTCCCCAGGGGCGTGCGGCTCCTCAGTGCAGGGGTGGGGAAGCCAAGACTGTTGGCAGGAACCACCCCCAGTCTCGGGATGCAGGCCCCAGAGTTTGCCAGCTTCTCCGAGGAGAGGGTAGTTCGTTCTCAAGGGAAAACCGTTCCCCAAAGCCCCATTTGGGTGGTGGTGGGCGTGGTGGGAGGAGATGGGTTTTCTCTCTCCTCACCTGGAAGATCAGACTGCAGAGCATCAAGGAGGCAGGCAAGGGTCTCGGAGACCAGGACCAAGACCCGCGATGGATGGAGAGAGGCATGAGAGTTCTTGGACCCCCAGTGGCGACTAGCCACGTCCCAGGTTCCCTGGCTGGCTCGGCGAAATCAGCCTCCCTGTCTAGCAACACCGGGGGTGCGGCTGCCCTGGAAGTGGTGGGAAGCCGAGGGCTGGGGAGACAAGAGCACCCTCACCCTTGGGCTCCAGGGCCTGTGCCACCCCGACCTCCAGGAGCTGGGCTGGCTGTCCTCATCACCGTCCCCGTGCGGGACAGGAAGGCTCACGGGAACAGACCCCAGAGCTGACGCCGGTGTGCTTCACTTCCGCGGGACCTGAACGCTGGCATACTCCGAGTAGGACGGCTCAGGCTTGGGGGCTGGCTGCTTGGGGCCCCGGTTGAGATGGACCATGTCCAGGTCGGCGTAGGTGAGCGTGTCCTCGGCGACAGGCGGCGGGCCGGTCTGGATGCTGGCGTACTCCGTGTGGTTGTTGGGGTCGGCAGCCAGCGGCGCAGACTTCTTCCCCTTGGGCAGGTTCAGGTCTGCATAGGTGATGTCGTTGTTGATGTCGTTGGTTTCCTGGATCTGAAGGAGACGGGGTGTCATTCTGCAGTTCGGATCTCCCTAAAGCCGGGGAGGGGGGCCGCCTCACAGTCCTGGGTCAGCGGCCCCGTCTGGCCTGCCCCCTGCCCTCGGCCCAGGCTGCCCCTCCTCCTCGCAGTGAAACCCCAATGCACCGTGTAAACCCCAGTGCCAGGGTGGCTTCCGCCTGAGGCCTGCTGGGCGGGGGCGGGGCTCCTACTCTGAGTCCTCAGCCGTCTTTCCCACGAGAGTGCCCGGCCGCTGAGGGCCGTGTCTGCTTTGGGACCTGAGTAAATGTCGATCTTCCAGAGGGGGGACGTTTGTCCATTTACTAGCACACTCAATATTCATACAGCATTTGTTATGATGCAGAAACATGGCTGCCACAGGAACTCAACTGATATTGAATACGTGAATGAATGAATGAATGAATGAATGAATGAATGAATGAATGAGTGGATGGATGGATGGGGTTGGATGAAGGCAATGCTTTCAGCCTCACAGGGTGAACGAGGGGCTTGGGAGATGGAGATGCTGGGCTGTGGGATGAAGAGGCACCAGCTGGCCAGATGTGGGGGGTCCCTGCAGGCCAGAGGCCAGAGTTCAAATCCTCCTTCTGTCCTCCTTCGCTGAGGACTATGGGCATTCACATAGCCTCTCTGATAACAGTACCCCTCGCGAGGGCTGCTGTGAGGACCAGAGAGTGCCAGGTAAAACTTTTAGAAGGGGTCCTCCCTGGTGGCACAGTGGGTTAAAGCCACTTCCACATGAGTGTGATCCCCGCCTGCCCCCGGAGGTGACCACATGGCGTGGCAGACCTCTCCTGACCCGCCCGCTGCTCCCCTCAGCAGTGTACTTCGTCGATCTGCCTGTTCTGTTCCCCACTCTGTCTCTGGCGAAGCCTCTCGCCACCCAGCCTCTGGCCTGTACCCCAGTTCTGTATGCACAAATAAATCTTTAAAAAAAAAAAAAAGCTCTTAGAAGGGAGCCTGGCACGTGGTGACTGGCCAGTACATGGTCGTAACTACTGCCCCCCTGGCCATGGGAAACGCGCCCGGTGTTCACCCTAGCCTACAAAGGCCACCTTAAAATGGAATGACAAAGTCGGCAGCCTCTATGCCCGGCATGGGTGCCATGGACAGGGAGGGCAGCCCCCTAACAACCCCCCTGTGGTGGGGCAACACACCAGTGAGATCACAAGTACACCGGCAGTGGGTGCCACACACCCATGGCCCTGCTTGGGAAGAACTAAGTACCCAAAGTAGAAATGAAAACACTCAGATCCAGGGGGGCACTGGTCAAAGTGACACAGCTGGAAAAGGACCAAAGTGAGGGGACGGTGAAGCTGTGTCTGTCCCCACGTCCCTCTGTCCTGAGCCCAGGGGAGGCACCCACTTATCTGCGAGATCCACACAAACAGCATCAAATCCCCTCCGCACGGGGCCGGGCCTGGCCTGGGAACCCAAGGCAGGTGGCAAGCTCCACAGAGGTGGGTGGTGGCCCCCTGCTCTCCGCCTGGGCCAGGTAGGTCAGCAAGTCTTGGCTGACTCTAATTTATTTTATAGGTTTTGTGATCCATTTTTCTCCCTTGAAGGTTCTAGAAAGCAACTCCGAGGGAGAGCACCTGTGGGAGACACCCCCCCCCCACTCATGATCGGAAATTGTTTTGTTTCGTAATTACTACTGAGCTGGGACCCAGGGCCTGGGGGCCAAGCGGGTCAGGACAGCAGGTCACCGCCTATAGACAGCAGCCTTTCCCTAGCCGCGAGCTTGCAACAGAAGACAGAAAATGACAAGCGCCCGGGAGATGTCAAGGACAGCTGGTGCCCGCCCGTGCAGGGTTCAGGGCCCGCTGTCTCCTTACAAGATGCCTCCAAGGTCTGCCCGTGTCAGTGGATGAGGAGCAGGGCTGGCTTTCTCGGAAGCAAGCCGACCCTGCTCCCTGCGAGATCCCCCAGCAAGCTGAGGAGACAGTGCCAACTTGAGGGAGGGTGCGCTGGCATGAAGTAATTAATGACAGCGGTCTGTCCGTCAGCAAAGACAGGAGAGGTTCTGGCAGGCCAAGCTGCTCTGAGGGATAGGGACGGTCTGAAGGAGGAGCCGGGAACAAGTGTTCCCATGGAGGGGAGGGGCTGGCCTGGCCTGGCCAGGGAGCTGAGGCCCGAGACAGGCTCCTCACGCAGGCGGGCAGCAGGCTGACCCAGAGGCATCATGGACACAGAACACGAGCGACTGGGCCCCACCCCTGGAGCTGGGCGGTGCTCGGCACCCAGTCAGGAGGCCAGGACAGACTGGGACACCCTGGAGGTAGGAGGGAACATGGAGCACCAGGGAAAGGAAGGCGCCTCCAGCCCCCAGTCCCCACCCCCACCCAGAGGCAGTCCTAATTTAGAACAGGATCTACATCTCCTCTCCAGGCAAGGAAGTCACACCGCTGAGTTTCCCGGGAAGGGCATCACACTGAGGACTGTACCTGGGTTATTTCTCTGGCATTCTTCTCAGGCTCATGCAACCTAAAAAGGAAAGAGACAAAGATAAAAATATCCTCACGATCTCCAGTGCTCAAGCAAATCGGTAAGAATAACATTCAGGGCCCACTGTCCACAGGCGGAGGCCACCCCTGCTCACGGAACGTCTGGACCGTGCGCCCCGTCCCGCTGAGGAGGAATTTTAAGCGACCCACTATTACTTTCTTGACCACACTACCGGCAAGGATCTTTAAAAATGGTAACACACACGGCCGGGAGACGGTGCTTTGGCGACGCTGCTGGTGGAACCCTTGACGGATGCAGCTGGGCAAGATCGAGAGCCTGGAAGGTGGCCTCATCCTTGGACTCATAATTGCCCATTTTTTAAAAAAATTCAAAATAGAGAAAAAGCACTCGTCACAGGGCGGGGTGGGAAGGGCAGTTTCCCTCCTTTGGCTGGGTAAGGCAATTAGGTGGCCTTGCAGGTAAAGGTGTGAAGGTTTATGGTGAGGGTTAATTTTTAAGTCACAAATGATTACATTAAAATGATAATGAAAAGCAGGAACGATCACTCTGTGGAATGCTCTCAGTTATGAAACCTGTGCTGTCGCCATGAAAGGGAGCCGTCCGACGCTCCACGCAGAGGTCTTCGGGGGGCATCGCCCCGCTCTCTGGTTTCCCACATTCTTAAATGTTCCATATCATGCACATCCAGGTGTTATTTAAGAAAGAACAGAGACGGGCCAAGAGTCTTGGTTAATCAAAGAAGCTATTCATGCACTTGATTCTGTAATTGGAGGCCGCGGCTTGGCTCACAGTGGGTCACGGTCAAGGTGGTGAGCAAGCCAGAGAGGCCGGTTCTGCGGGACTTGTGTAAATTTTCAAGCCGGCAACTCGGAGGATGTTAGCCTGGATAATGTCAGAGATGAGCAATGGGGCTTGGCAGCGGGGTTATTAATGGATTTGGCATGAGTACTTGGCTCAGAAAGCAGCTCTGGGGTGTGACAGGCCTCACGTGGCCACACAACAGCCCTCTGGGAGCAGGGCACCTTCTGGTATGTAAGATCACACAGACCCATGCGCACCCCACTGGGTCCCAGCCTTCCAGGGGGTCCCACTGCCCTGGCTCAAGTCCAAATGCTGGTTAGCCCCTGCCGACGCCCCCAGGCCCACCGCCCACTTAGCTACCCACCGAGCTCCCCGATGCTACATAGTTTATGTGCCAACAGCAGCCTCGCATCCCCCTGGGCTACTTTTCTCTCGGTTGACCTTCGTGGATCCTGAGCAGGACTTCGGTGTCACCTGCGACGGGGCTGTACTACCTGGGCTGCTCCCAGCGGCAGTTTCCAGCCTTCTTACATTTTCCCCACCCGGCCTGTGTCTGTGTCTGTCTGCCTGCCCTGCTTCCTCTCTACCTGGGACAGGTGCTCAAAAGTGAGGTGGGGATGAATGGCAGTCGGCTTTTGCGCACCTCGTCTCCCTTGCCTCTTCATCGATTGCACGCCTCTGCTCGCAGATCCTGCTTTTAACAGCCCTCTCTCAGGAAAACCTTCCCTGGACTCCAGACTCATTTCTCAGAAGCCTGGGTTCGCCTCTATCAGTGTATCTTGCCAACTGGAAACAACCACCCATTTCTCCCCGACTGCCCCTCCCCGGGTCTCTGCTGTCTTGGTGAATGGCACGCTACCGCAACTCCTGTGCTTGGCTCATCTTTCTTTTTTTCTAATGCAAGTTCAATCCACTGCAAGCCTTGTTGACTCTGCCTCCAAAGTGTCTATCAAACCAGCCACTTCATCATCGTCACCATCCTAGATGCCCGGCTCCTGAGGAGTTCCCCACTGGAGTGCCTGCTTCAGCTCCCGCCCCTCCGCACAACATTCCCCACCTACCAAATCTGTGAGACGGAAGTGAATGCACACAGGGAAGCCCATCTCCACAGCCTGACAGACAAGGCCCGGGTCACCTGCCCCCACTGAGCGCTCTACCCCCCCGCTCTCCCCCTCGCTCACTCGAGCTGCCCTGGCTTCCCCGTCCCACCCCCACATTCCATGAACATGTCCAACTGCTCCTGCCTGGAGCCTTGGCACCAGCTACTCCCTCGCCTGGGCTGCTTTTGCCCCAGATACTCCTGTGGCTGGAGCCAGTCCAACCTCAGCTACCTCCTAAATGTCACCTCCTTAGATAAACCTTTCCAGACCAGCAGCCCAGCTCCCTGCTTTGCTCCCTGCCTGGCTACATTTTATTTTGTCACAGCTATATCACCATAGGTAGATTGTTTGACCACTGGCCTCCCAAAGGGTCACGAGACCCGTATGGGCAGGACGAGCCCACCTCCTTCCCCAGAGCAATCCCATCACCCAGTCATGGGTGGGCACGGAGCTAGAAGGCCAAAGAAGCTGCAGAATGAATGAATGAGTGAGTGAGTGAGTGAGTGAGTGAGTGGATGTCTCTCCCTTCAGCTAGACTCCTGAAGGGAGTAATCCTGTAGCTGAAAACCTAGCATTGAGCTGTGCTCAATCCAGTGAATAAATGAAAGAATCAGGGAAGCCCTAAATATTCTAAGAATAAACGCAGCGAATATCTGACAAGTGAGCAAATGGCAGACTGAATGAACCCTAGTGCCCAATTAAGGGAGCAGAGACACATTCCTCTCCCGCCTGAGCAGGGAAGATTACAGACAGTTGTGCATGTTCGCACCTAACACGGAGAGCTGGAGAGAGCGGTCTGTCCAGTAGCTTTTTGAGCTCAAAGCGGCAGCGTCCCCCTGTGACACCCTCCCGGGGTGCTCTGTTGTTCCTGCCGTCCTTGGGGAAAGTGTCTGATCCCAGCCTCTGCCGCTGCCGCTGAAGGGAAACCACCATGACCACTCACTAGCTATTGCTCTGGTTTAGAGAGATGAAAGGGAGCAAGTGATCTCACGGCTCCCTTGGTAGGCTCACGTTGGAAAAATAAAAAACAGAAAATGCTGCCTTCTCTGGGGAAGGAGAAATAGGCAGTGAGAGGCATCTCAGGAGCTGAAGAGCGTCAGAGTTGGCGTCAGAGAAACGTGGGTGCAGTCACAGCCAGCACTCACTACCTAGGGGCCTCTGGGGGTCACGACGTCTGTCTCTAAGTCTCAGTTTCCTCAACCATCATAGGGACAACAAGAACTTTCCAGAACAGGGTTCTCAAGGTCTGACTCGAAAACCACAGCCTTAGCAGCACCTGAGAACCTGCTAAAAATACCAGTTCATCAGAAACCCTGGGGGTGGGGCCCCATAATCTGCGTTTTAATAAGCGCTCCAGGGGATTCTGTCTGCTACACATTCAAATTTGAGAACTGTTCCATTCAAATGGGACAGTAGTAAATCATAGGGTTTTTTACTATAATTAAAATCATCAATGGGCTAATATAGGTAAAAGCATAGATCAGATCCTGGAAAATAAGTGAACGATAAATGTTCGCCGCTGATATGTTGGCATTATTATTATTATTGACATTACCCTTTTCTTCCAGGAACTTATTGTCTAACTGGGGAGAGAAGACAAGTGAAGATAATGATAACAATAAAAGCAAAATGAGAGATCTTCCTGTATTTCGGGTGACGCCACTGTGAGGGAGAGTTTTAAGGATTTAGTGAAGCTCGGGGCTCGCTGGAGTGGTCTGGAATGGTGTTCATTCGTGCACTGGTTTACTTATTCACTCATCGAACCTACTGAGCACCTAGTCCCTTTCAGGTCAGCAGTTATCAGCAGTGAACATGAGGGAAATGGTCCCTGCCCTCATGAGGGATGGTCATAATATGCGGTCAAGTGTAGGGACACCTTGAACACATCGGATGTCCACTTGGGAACACCAGGAGAGGAGGAACTGACCTCGCTGGGCCCAGGAGAAGGAGCAGGAGGACAGGAGATAAAAGGAGGGGGCCACTCTAGCTTCAATGTCGCACAACTCCAGGGGTACTGTTTATCAAGTCAGCTGTGACTGCCACCCCCAGAGCTACGAGACTCTGGGTGGCATGCAAGCAGGGTTGGGGGGGCATGTCTCAGGAAGAGAGGTCCATGCAAAGGCCTAGGAATAGGTGGGGATACAGTGGGGGGAGGGGTGTAGCATGAGCCACAGATGTGAGGGATGGGGAGTGGCCAGCAGTGAAGCCATCCACGTCAGCGGGACTGGGCCACAAGGAGCATCTCGAGGGGGGGACCCGGGACTACGCTGAGGGCCCGGGAGCCACTGAAGGGTCTCCGGCAAAAGGCGGAAGCCGAGTCTTGCCGTTAGGAGAGAGCATACTTGGTCTGCAGACTGTAGTCAGTGCAGACACAGCAAGAGGCGCAAGGGAGAGCCTGGTCCTGCAGGAGAGCGGCCCTGTTGGGCAGGGGTGAGGAGGCGGGAAGTCACACCGGGCTCGGACCCGGAAGCCACCTGTGGAGGTCAAGGCAGAAAGCCAGGCTTTCTCCCAAGGGTGCTGGGGACTCTCGCTGCCAGGCAGAAAGCAACACACGCTCCTCAGGGCCTCTTGGAGGCACGGGGGGTTGTTCCGGCCTTGCCTTCTTGCCTTGCCCCGGGCCCCGGGGTCCCCGTTGCCCCCACCTTTGGGTTTTTCCTTGTTTTTCGGCCCGTTCGGGGGGCCTTGCCGGTTTTCCTTCCAAACCTTTTCACGTTCCAGCTCTTGCCAATGCCACCACTTGGGCCAGGCCACCTGGGGCACCAGCAGGCTCCCCTGGGCCTCTCTGTTCCACCCTCACCTACAGCCTGAGCCCCACACAGCGGGCAGATCATTTCCCTCCTCGGGTTCCTGAGAGTGAAACCCAGCCCTGTCACCTGCCATAGGCCCTGGGCCACTGGCCCCACTCCGGAGCCTAGTTCCGCTTTGCAATTCTAAAATCACGAAACAAAAAAATCGAAAGATGAGCAAAACCCGTTTGGTGGCAAAGCCTGACCTGAGCCAACAGACTATTTACAGCTTCTCTTTATCACCCCGAGTATGAATGTTCACATGTCTCCACGTGGGCACACTCACATGGTGGGTTAGGGGCCTGCCTTCCTAAGTCTGCAAGTCCAGACTAACAGCCGGCTGCGAAGGGCCTGGCTCCCCCTGGCCAGTCTCACCGTCCTGTGCCCCAGCCACTGGGGCTTTCTGAAACAGCCCACCCAGACCCTGCCGTGCCTGCTTCCTCACCCACAACACCCCCAGGCCTCTTCACCACTCCCTAGCTCAGGTGTCTGCTCACAGCCCTGCCCCAAAGAGGAGGTGCTGCCCCCCGAAAGCTGTGCTGCTGGTCTCCACACCCTCGTGTTTGATTTGCCACCTCCAGACATGATCACATTCGCCTCCACCCTCTCCACCTGCTTCTCTCGCTGGCATCTGACCCCATGAAGCCCGGGCTGGTGCTTGCTTGCTGCTATATCCCTGGGACCCAGAACACAGCTGGTGCATAGTAGGGACTCAGCAAGTCCCACGGAAGACAGGATCCCACAAACGGCCTGGGGTGCGCTGTGATCACCTGAGCCTCTGAGCAGACCAGGGGCTCGTGCATGGGCAGGCCCTTTCTCTCCTCACATGCCGAGGTATCCCGTGAGGGAAAGAGTAAAGCATACAACTTGGATCGGGGGAGGGGGTAAGGGTAGGGGCGTGCAGGCCACTGTGGGTTTCTGCCCGGTACACAGGGTATTTGCTGGGGGGTCTCCTGTCTGTGGACACAGCAGTGAATCAGCACCTCCATGCAGGAAGACAACAGTTAAAAGCAGCCTGGGGCAGGGAGCGTGCAAAGGAAGGAAGCAGAAATGCTGACTGGCATGCAAATGCCAAGGGTCAAGGGGTATGGATAAGGCTTTGCAGTTTGGGGTGCTGACAAACAACCAAATCACAATGGCAAAAGGAGACTCCAGAGAGGTGCTTACCTTGTAGAAGAAGTGGAGCCCTTGGCTGAAACAAAAGAAGCAAAAGTCCATTACTTAAGCTAGAAACACACCTTATGTGATTGTTTTGAGCAAAGGTTTGCCTTCCTGCACACTGCGAGGAACAGGTAAAATCAGATTCTCCAAACCAAGGAAGCCCCATGACCGCCCCTGCGGGTGGGCCGCTACCTTCCAGGGGGGAAGACGGCGAGCTACACCTTTCCACTCTCCCACTTCTGGGGTTGCCAAAGGTCGGCCCCAAGGGCAGCTTCAGATGGGGAGGGCCAGCTGCCTTCCCTCTGCCTGGGCCTCATCCGTTCATCACACACCTTACCTGAGATGCTACCCAAGCCGGGTCCCAGCAGGCCCTTCCCTGCTACAGAGCAGATTCTAGCAGGGCTTCACAACAGACAAAGGCTTGTGGACCCCACTTCTGCTACCGGCTCACTGGTTGTGGGACCCCAAGTGGCCATTTCCCCACCCTGAGCTAGGAGCTCAGCTCTCTGACTTGTGGGGGGCATAGGGACTGGACATTCATTGATTTTCATGTCACCACTTTCCCAAAAAGGATCTTGGGAAGCAACAAAGGGTCCATCTGGTTCAGAGATTTTAAGCCTGTGATATGGGGCATCCCACAGAGAAACTGCCAGGGTACAGCCGACACTTGACTCCCATTTTGCTGTCATGTTGTAATTAAAAAGCAACATGCATGCTCCAGAGTGCTCCTGCTGCATTTCAGGCTGGAGGCTGTGTGGCACGGTGCACGGCACTAAGCTGCCAGGGAGCGCCAGGTGCCCGCTGGGCCTGGACTCTCAGGAGAGCGGCGCCACTCAGAAGGCTGCCGCTCTGTATCAGATGCCTCCGCAGAGGCCCTAGGCTGTAAAGAGCCGGAACACGAGTTGTCTCAGAGTCCATCAACAGGGACACGATCACCTGCTGTGATTTCATGCCAAAGAGTCCGGGTGACTCCTTAGAGGTACACGGCTGGAGAGCGATAGAGTTCAAATCTATTCTGTTCAGGTAGAGGACGGGCAGACCCCCTCCAGGGACAGTGAGAGTGGAGGGGGTGTCATTAGGGTGGAGCATGCGTAGATTTGGTCCCAAACATGGTCCCTGGAGACTCACAGGTTTGAATCCTGACCCCACCACTTACCAGAGGTGGGACCCTGAGCTGAATGCCTTAGAGTCCTCACCTGGAGAACAGGGCTAGTTATTCTACCACAGGGCTCTGGGGGGAGGACAGTGCAGGGACTAGAAGAGCCGAGTGGGTGCTGGTTGTCACTGGAGGCCACCGCTCTGGTGCTGGTGGCTGTCTTCAGTGTCCGCAGCCCTCAAAGCACGGCTCACTGATTCCTAAGCCAAAGGCATGAGCTCAGGTGTGCTGGGGGTCGACGTGGTCCCAGGGGTGCGGCTCTACAGGAGCCTGGGTCACTAATGGCTGCTGCGAATGTGCCATCGGATGGGTTGGGGCCCTGCTTCCCCACTGCAGGAGGAGTCCTTGTGGAGGGGGGAGGGGGGAGTAGGGAAGTAGGGGAGGGGGGAGTCTCCAGTGACTTTAGGGAAACTGCTGGGAAGATCTCCCGGCAGGACCCCTTCCAGCTTCCAGAGGGCGGCTAGAGGCTCAGTATTCACAGCCGAGTCCAGCAGCCTGCCCAGGAGGGAGGGGAGCTGGAGGGACAGAAGTGAGCAGATGCAACAGGGATGATGACTGATGTCCACCCCAGCTCAGCCTGGAGGTCCGGACACACTGGGGCTCTTTGCAGCTGTGGCACATCGTGGACCACCAGCATTTTTAAGAAAATACAGTACAGACTATGACCAAACAAGACGATAGCAGAATTCCAATTTCATATGCAGGGGTGTGCACGCTGGGCTGAGACAGAGAGAGAATTTCCATCACCTGTCGTACAAAAAGTTTCGGACACGCTGGCTTAAGATCGTCTCTTCCAACAACAGGAAAGAAAGCATGTGTATTTCTGGGGTCTGGGAATGCGCCAGAGCAAATCATTTCACAAGAGCTACCTGGGTTCCGTCACTACTCTACAAGGGAAGCTTGTGCAGCCATTTCACAGATGAAAGTGAGGCTTGTGGAAGCCAAACTGTTTAAAGCATAACAGGGTCAGGAACCCGGATTGTCTGACTCCCACAGGAATAATCACACACACACAAGTACACACACAAACAGGGGGACAGGACCTTGGCTTTGAACTTGCACCCCCTCACAGAGGAGCCCAAGGTTGCACCCCTGGCTGCAGTGAGAACTTTCCAGGGAGACGCCTCATGTTTCTGGGCTCGCAAACAAAACGGACCACAGGAGCTAACATCTGTTGGGTCCTTGCTAGGCACTCTCCTGGCATTTCACATGCAGTCACCCATTTAATCCTCTCTACAGCATGGGGTAGGTGGGGCTGTTATCCCCCCCTTTGCTAGTCTTCTGCCCAGAGGCTGACAGTGTCACCTGGGTATGGTAGAGGAAGGCAGACACTTGCCAGGGGCTCTGGGAAACAGCCTCCTCCCTGAGTCCCTTTCTGCTCCCTGCTCCCCACCTCAGCAGTGACCCCCTGAGGATGTGAGGCCCGAGCAAGGCTGGTCACCCTGTAACCTCGACAGGAGGCTGCAGGAAGGACCCAGCCTGGGAGGCGCTGGAGCTACAGCACCACTGCCTCTGAACAACCAGTCACTGCAAGTCACAGGAATCATCAGGTAGGCTCAGGTAGGCCAAAGCACTCTAGGGGCCCCTCCCTCTGGGAAGGACAGCCCAGAAGCAAACTCTGGAGGAAGAGGAGGGAAGGGAAATGCACCCACCTTTTCTCTGCCGGACCCGGAGGAGGTAGAGGGCACTGATCAGCAGGACCACCAGCAAGATGCACACCAAGCCCACCGCAATAAAGACTCCGTTCAAGTTCGAAGAATTTTCTGGGGACCACAGGAAAGAGGCTTCAGGTTCACAAATTAAGAACAACGAAAATGAAACCCATAGTCCCTTCTCACCACCAGGCAGGCACCCTTCACAGAAAGAACATGTAAATGGGCCTGCTCAGACTTTCAAGCCATGGGGGCATGAGGGCACCCCATGTGGGTGACCTGTGGGCAGTGAAAAGCCATGCCGAGGTGCCAGCGCAATCCTGGCTGCAGGAGGCGGGCAGGCATCCCACTCCTGAAGAACACGAGCCTGGCCCTGCTCATCGGCAGCGAACCACGGAGCAGCCACCCCAGTGGCAAAGCCCATTCAAAACCCCAAACCACAATGGGGGTTTCACACAGCAGCTGGCAGGGGCGGGTGGTAAAAAGGGGATGGCAGATGTGCCACTGGCTATGGGGCTCAGAGGTCTCAGGGCACCCCCCCCCCATCTGAGCCTGGGATCTGGGACAGGAGCCCCTACTTCTGGACACCTGAAATGAAGACAGACACCGGGCAGCCCCAGGGCACAGGGAGGGGTCCCAGAGGAGGGCACAGGGCTCTAAGACACAGAAACCCGGTCTAAATGCGTGCCCTAGGGTGTGAATCCCTCCAACACTGCTAACTGCAGTGTAACTGATGCTAACAACAATATCTACTGTTTGGATAGCCCTGAGGGTTAACTCACCAGCCACGCAATCAACCAACTCATCACTCTTTCATACTTTCTAAAGGCATTTCTTGAGTGCCTATGAGGGCCAGGTCCAGAAACTAGGGTCCTCCCCAAAGAGCATGCTCCATGCAGCTGGGACTCACAGCCTTGGGGTGATGAAGCTCATCTCCAACAATGTCACGAGTAAGCAGAAATACTGACTAGTCCAAGGTCACCCCACAAGTCTGGACAGACCCAGAGCAGACATCCACATCCTGTTTCCCTGGCAGAGTCACCCTATAAACACCCAGTCTGGGTGACAGCAAAGAACAGCGTGGCAGGGCCCCCAAACTGCGTTAGAGCTCGCCTGCTCCCCTGAAGGATGCATGAAAGGAAGAAGCGACCTCTATTCTTACCCACGTATAGGGCGTGCTATGTCACGGGCAAAGCCATACTAATGATGGATAACCGGACACTCCTCAGTGACACTAAAACTCCAAGGAGGGGCTGCCATTTTGAAGAAGAGAGATCCATGGCGACAGGTTGGAAGGGGTCAGACCTGACCCCTTTCACTCCCCAGGAGACTGGCAGCTGATCATCACCTTCACAGGCATGCACTGGCTCTGTAAAAGCGCTTTGAGAAACCCGCGAAACAGAGCCCAGGTAACAGAATAGGATGCAGGTCACAGTGGTGAGAGCTGAGATAAGCACGTCACCTCAAGCCCCTGCCCCACCCCTATGGGGGGCACAGCCACTGCATGGGGAACCTGGCAGAGCTTAAAGAGGACAGCTGGGAGTGGGTGACAGGAATGACAGAGGCAGTCACCTTGAGATGCAGACAGCGCACAGCAGGACAACCTCCCCCTGCCAGCTTTATGTGCATTTATGTGGAAAGACCTATGAAAGCGTTTCCCAGTGCCCACCAGTGGTCACTCTTAAAATGTGGGAATTGGGGAGGGGGGCAGAGCTCACTAAGATTCTACTTTATTTAGGGAGTTCTCGATTATTCTCCAAACGTGGAGGTCTCACCCTGTTTGTCACCTGTGTCCTGCTTGCCCTGGTGAGCAGAGGCCTCCAGGGTGTGGGTTCTGGAGACCGCAGGCTGCCCGTCATGCTCCACCTGGCAGGTGAGCGCCACGTTCCCCCTGTGGGCAGAGGAG